TTTGTTTTAATAATGCTATTTCTTAACTGATCCATCGTTATTTTCGTAACAATTTTCCTTTCACAGTCGCCGCCTTAACATCGTTGTCGTGTTCAAAACCTCACGACTCACCTAGTCCTTCTCTGATATAGCATTGTAACATTGTGGTCGCAGTCCTGAAGAATCTTAGATGCCAAGAAATTCGTATTTTTGACCGTTCCTGAAAGACCTTGAGATTTTCGCGAATGATTCTTCTTTTTACGCATGGAATTGGCTAGATGAAATTATCCGGCTATTGAACCATGACATACACTGAAGTATGGAGGAAGGAAACTTGCCTCGGGCCTATGAGCTAGAACTCGGGTTCAGACTTTGGGGGGCAAGCCAAAGTATGGACCCCCATCAGACCTCTACGGGAATCCTTGAAGCTGCAAGTTTGTTGGAAGAAGTTTATCAGCTGAAGTAATCTATTTCAAGCAGTTCCGGAGAAAAGGATTCAAATGCCCTCTCATTGCTAAAGGTTTTGTGGACAGTACAGCATCGTTGTGTGAAACACATAGGGGGGGGGTCGTACTTGGTCGACCGGTAGGGGGGTCGTATTTGGTCGTTGTTGGGAGAGGGGGTTGTATGTGGCTGTGAGAGAAATTTGGCGTTTGGAAAAAAATCATTCCGGTGGTTGATCTTTCGCGGTTTTTCCCGTTTCACATAACCCCCTCTTCCCGCTCGACGGAAACGGAAAATATTCGGGTGAAGAACTGGTAGGGAGCAGGGAACTTGTAGGGAAGTGGTAGGTAGTTGTTCGGGGGAGGGGTGTCGTACTGACGCTACCATTTTACACATCACGATGCTGTACACTGTTTGTCGAGTCGGCGTGGCGAGCCATGGAGGCTTTTCAAGCTCCCTTCTTGGCCTTTTGAGCCGGTATTAGCCCTGGAGAGAGAGCATTTGAAAGATTTCTCCCTAAAAAGCTAGAACTACGGTAGAGACTGTTGTTTAGGCGGATAGGTGAAGGATCTCCAGGGTGCATAAATCCGACTGAAGTGCGGCAAGCATGTTGATTAGGGGGTAATCTGTTCTGCACAAGGAGTCCCTTGAACTACCCTCCAAGGCTGGGAGCGTCTTCGTCCCGTTTCCAGTCTTCGAGTCGGGTGGCTTGAAAAGCAAACATTGAGCGTTATGCTGTAATCGTTTTTTATTGTGAGCTAGTCTTACTTTATCTGAAAGCTGCGTTGAAGCTCTGGAACTTTTAAGGGAATTTAATTTACGGCGTGACGTTTTTTTTCGGTCTTGTATTCCCAGTATGTTGTCCCGATTCGTCGTTTCCTAGCACTTGCTGTTTCAGTGAACTCTGACAAGTGCTTTTTGGAATTGTCAGACTTTGTTTTGGAGGGGACAGCTCTTGCAATTGAGACAATGATAAGTCATCAAGAATGTAAATGTCGCTGTTTGACTGGGGAATCGAGGTGAGCTCACGAAAATCGAATGTATTATTTCCTTACTTATTATGCAAGTTTTAGGTATGGTGAAGCATGTCAATCCTTCCAGTACTACTTCGACAGCAATACCTGTTTAATAAATAAGCAAAACAGGTCAGAGGTCATTTTAGAAGTTCAGTTCATATCTTGTGCGTGGAACTTTAATTTCGGGGATGATTCACAAACTGCGAAAGCATTGGACTTTTTTCAAAGGGTCGTTTATTCTCAACGGTGACTCGGTTTAGGAGGGGTTGCCCCCTTCTTGCTATATATTTATCATCTCAAGTTTCTTTGCACCTGCGCTCCTATTTTTTTCCGGCCCAGGTGTGGATAGTCTAATTTACTTCATCACAATAACTGTGTGAAGGGAAAAGTAAGTGCAACTCAGTAAATACAACTTTCGAATTGCAAAGTGTTGCTTTCCAAACTGTGAATGATAAAGCAAAACATCTTCCCATGCCGGGAATCGAACCCGGGCCGCGTGGGTGAAAACCACGAATCCTAACCACTAGACCACATGGGACATGGCTGCGAGCCTGAGCGGGCCTCTTATGTACCATCACAATAGAGAACAAGAGCAGAAATTCTAACGTGTTAAATTAGCAAAATTGCTGTTTCAGGTTTTCGAATTCGGAAAATTTCAACTATGTACCAAGTTCACAGAAACGCAGTTATTTCGAACATAGATGTGCAACGCGAGGTAATTTTGAAATATTTCAACAAATGGGCTCCGCTATTCGTAAATATCTAGTAGAATATTTGTGTTATTCAGAATTCTCAGCCCTTAGTCCAAAAAAATTTATTGTTAACTTTTTCTAGATGATATTCGTGCACAATATCTGGCCGATTATTGCTCCGACTCATTCGAGGTAGTGAAAGGCACAGTAGATTTCTCAGTATTTATAAAAAGATCAGTTGCTCAATGCTTTGAATATTTACTTAATACTTCAAATATTTATCAGAGTCCACAAGGAGGGCAGGAAAACAGTCGTGGTCCCGGTTCGGATCACGAAATAGGAACAAAGGAAACGACAACGACGCCGAGCTTGAAGTCCAGAGATAACGAACACGATGAGGTTGACCAGTCAAGGGCGACTGAAGAGGTAGAATGGATATTTTCTGGGTTGACACAGTTTTTCAAGAGATATCTGCTATTTTTTTCTAATATCTTAAAGTCTGAAATTTATAGAGAAGTTTAGGGGAATGTTCTTGGAAGTAGTGTGAACTCGCAATATCATTCCTGCAAGTTTTTGTTTAGAAATCGCAATAGACAGTTTATTCACCAACTCATTGGTAAAGCAAAATTTAGCGCCTAATTTAGCGTGGTTTCTTTGTTAAGAATTCTGGAGGCAGTCGGGGCACATTGTCATACAGGGGTCCCTTACGAGGGAACGGGGAGAGGATCGCACCAACGCTCTTGAAACTGGCGCTATTTAACTATTACTACAGCAAAAGCTTAAAGTTTCTGCGCTGGAACTCTGCCTTATAGGACACTTATGTCACGGGACCATCGAAGGCGAACCCCGCGATTGTATATTGTGGATAGTTTAGTTCAATTTCGAAACTGTAGTTGCTGAGTGACTCTCCAGAAAAGAAAAAATAAGCAAAGAAAGTTGTGGACAACAACCTAAGCGGGGGTGTTGCAGCCTCGCTGGACGAGTCCTTCGGTACTGCTCGCTTCATGTCAGCGAAGCGATATCCTGCCGCCTCTGGATCATTAATCGCTACCTGGCTATCCAATACAAACACCATACAACATTGAAAAAATGAAAAATGCGGTGTAAAAACTGCACTCATGACGGAAATTAGCCTTTGCATTTTGCTGGGCGCGACAACTGGGCTCAGAACTGGCGTAAGGCGTCAGAATTGCTACTTTTGAGGGCCACAACGCCTTCGTTACTTACTGTGAAGCCTAAAGTGGCACAATTCCAGAGCTAGAGGGCCAGGCTACTTGAGCAAGGAAGGACGCATGACCCCTTAAGCGCGGAGAACTTTTTTATGTAGGGCTCGAAAGCTATGTTCCAAACATTGGATACCGTGTAGCATGTGCAATACACTTAATCATAATTCAATATTATAGAAGACAGCTGGTAAGGGTGTTTTTCTACCCGCTCAGCGCGCTAGTTGTGCCCAACCCCACTCCACCAATAAAACTCAAATTTCTTCCTCCCAGATGCAACGGATTTACTGGCTTTTGAGTTGGTGAAAAGTCTTTCGTTTCCGTAAGTCATCGCGATGGCTTCATAATGAGGGTGACTTCAGGCCTGATCATATAATCATATAATAAAATTTTAACTTTTCGAATAGTCTGTAGAGGATTTGTTAACCTTGCCTACAAAGCTGATTTTTATACATTGTATTGTTTATTTTTCTTATAGATGAGGAAACGCGAGGATATCCCAGGGCTTTCATCAAAGGTACCGATGGTCAATAAGAAAGTAGGTTACCACTGTTACTATATAGAACAGTATAATGCAGTTCTTTTAAATTCATTAGCTTCAGCATGATTCCTCTGTCTATTGTAGAAATATTAAAAGGGTGAGGAGGAAGAG